GCACTCTTCTACCAATGCTCATTTTTAGGCTGTCAAAAGGTTGCTTCGGTATGTCAAAGGCACTATTTCTCATGGACTGCATTTTTTCCCAGGTCTTTTTTCCCTTCATACTTTCTCTGATTCTAATTGGGCTAGTGACTCTGTGGATAAACGATTCAACTCTGGGTATTGTGTCTATCTTGGTCCCAATTTAATCTCCTGGTCAACCAAGAAACAAGCCACTGTTTCCAGGTCCTCCACTGAGGTTGAGTACAGGGCCTTAACTCATGTTGTTGCTAAGCTCACTTAGTTGCAGCAGTTGTTAAAGGGCGTGTGTCTTCCTGCTCTTTCGGTTCCCATTTTGTGGTGTGACAATCTCTCTGTTGTGGCCCTTGCTTCTAATCCTGTGTTTCACTCTCGTTCCAAGCACATTGAAATTGATTGTCATTTCATTCGCGAAAAGGTGATGGCTAAACAAATTGATCTTCATTATGTGCCTTCTACTGATCAAATTGTTGATGTGTTTACTAAGCCTCTATCCAATTTTCGATTTCACTATCTCAAGGACAAGCTCTTGGTGCTTCATTGCCCCAATCGTTTGTGAGGGGCTGATAATGTAGCTTATCTACAGCCTCAGGAATGGGTTGTGCCACCAACTACCTCACAAGCATGTATGGATAGCAAATTAAGTAAGGACAGCTGTACAAGTTCTAGTAGTTAGATTCTTGAGTTAGTTAGAATACTGTTACAATATTGTTAGAGTGATAGATACATATATGTGAGTGATGTATAAGGAAACGATATAAATATCTTGTAACCAATTAATTAGGGATAATGAAAATATGATAATTCAATCTTTCTTCATAAATTCACATATTCAAGCACTTGTATCTCCGTCGTCATAACTCTATTTCACTTTATTTTTGCATCATTAGATTCAACTCATGGCCTAATTTTTATTCCACCTTTCATATGCCTTATTTTATCTCTTTCTACATGCCGTCGGATCTTCGAAAGTTAGCCAAAAATAAGTTTTTTCTCTTCTTCCTCCTCCTCCACGGCTTTTCCTCCTGGCTTGCTACTGCAGCTGCTGATACTTCATCATTATTATCTGCAAGAAAAGGTGGTGGTGGTGGTGGTGGTAATGGTGGCGATATCGTCGAATAGTGATAGGTATACAACTACACATAAAAATCAAAAACCAAATGAGTTGATGAGCATGTTAGGGCACCTTGGTTTTCAATCAAGCGTCATCCATTGCATCTCAACTGCCAAGAATAATGTTGCAATAGCATCAAGAAAAAAAACAAAAACAAAAAAATAATAGAGAAAAATCTTACTTTTGGCCAACTTTCGAAGTTCCGGCGACATGCAAAAAGAGGCGAAACAAGGCATATGAAAGGTGAAATAAAAACTAAACCATGATTTCAATCTAACAACGTGAAAATGAGGTGAAACAGAATTACAATGATAGAGATACAAGTGCTTGAATGTGTTGATTTAAATTTGAAAATTTTGCCCAAAGAAAGAAAAACCTTATTTTTTAACCAATTTTCAAAGCTCCGACGACAAGTAAAAAGATGTGGAACAAAGCGTATGAAGAGTGGAATGAAAACTAGGGCATGAGGTGAATCCAATGACGCAAAAATGAGAGGAAACGGAGTTAGACGAGAGAGATACAAGTGCTTAAATATGTGCATTTGAATTTGAAATTTTTTTCCAAAAAGAGAAAAATCTTGTTTTTGACAGACTTTCAGAGCTCTGATAGCAAGTAAAAAGATGTGGAACAAAGCATATGAAAAGTGGAAAGAAAACTAGGCCATGAGATCAATCCAACGACGAAAAAATGAGGCAAAACGGAGTTACGACGAGGGAGATACAAACGTTTAAACATGTGGGTTTGAATCTGAAATTCTGCCCAAATTTTCATTAATTTAATATGTTGGAGATGAACGGAGTGGCCAAATTGAAACACGGATGAAACTTTAGGATTTAATTTGTCGAAACTGAAATTCTGGGATTTAAATTGAAAAACACGCGAAACCCTAGGGTTTGTTTTGTAATTAACCCTTTCTAATAGAAGTAATTTTCATTATAATTTTTAAATTTGAGCTTACCTCAAATCATCTCATTTTTGGTAAATTTCATTTTAATATAAACAACTGTACAAGTTTAAGGGCAATTCACTTTTGATATAATATCAACATATCGTAGACGAGTATTAATTTTTTTTACTACATGATTATGTTGTTGTTGTTCATGCCTCACGTGCATCAGAATCTCGTCGAAAGCTTCAAGAGATCATGGAAGAATTGCATGAGTTTTAAATATTTCATTAGAATATTCTTGTCACAAATTTCCAGCAATGTGGGTATGCCAAAAATGGCTTAAACCTCTAGGCAAAACTTTTGTTGATTAAAGAAACGAATTGTTAAAAAGCATCTATAAATAGTGGGTTTTTCTTTGCTCAAACCCATAAATCCTAAACCATTTTAGCCCAAATTAAGCACAACCCAAGATCGATATAGAAGAAGATAATCACTTGCCCGATGCGAGCAATCAGTAAGCCTAAGGGTCTCATGATGAGGCTTGCAGAGGCTGTTGGTAAAAAAATTGATGAAGGAACACATAAGACTGAATTCACATCTTCTGCTAGCATTTACAGGGTCCCCGATGAGCTTCGTAAGCTCAACGAAAGTGCCTATGTCCCTCGCCTCGTCTCCATCGGACCTCTTCACAGTGAGGACCGAAACTATTTCAAATCACCAGTACACAATATCAAATTGAGTTATGTGAATTTCCTCCTCAGTCGAAGCACCTGTGTGGGGTCAGATCAGCGTCAATTGATTCTGCTCGAATGTCTCACTCAAATGAGAGAGTCATTAGAGGAAGCCAAGAAATGCTATGTGGAAGAAGTTTATGATAAGCTCGACGAAGAGATGTTGGTGATCGATGGATGTTTCATACTCGACATGACTTGTTATTGCTCAAGAACCAGCTTCCTTTCTTCGTTCTCCAGAGGTTGTTCGGGCTCACAGTCTCACCTATACCGTGTATGAATCTTACTCTTATTGATTATGTCTTCTAATTTTTTAGCGACATTTTGAATACAGAATCAAAAGTCAATGAAAGAACAAAACAGAAGATGAGTAAGAAAGCTGATTATCTTCATATCCTCGATATTCCACATAACCTCTACGATTCTTACAAAAAACCCAAGACTCAACCATCTTAAACTGTCCATGCCTTCTGCATCAGACTCGAATTCGCAGGAATCAAGTTTGTATCCAATCGGCCCCCAGCGGAGAAGAATTTAAGATCAGGTTTAATGAATATAAATGTCTTTCCAAGATTATTTATGGAGCTCGTTTTGTAATCCCAACTTTGTTCATCTACGAGTCCACCGAGCCATTCTTGAGAAACCTCGTTGCTTACGATCAGTGTCGCCCTGGTGTTTGTCGTTACTTTACATCATATGCCAATTTTATACCCTCATAAGCAGTGACAAAGATGTTCATGTGCTGGACAAGGCTGGAATCATACGTAACCATCTAGGCGCCGGTGAAGATGTAACCAAGTTCTTCAACAATCTCTGCAAGGAAGTTGTTCTCAAGGAGTCTTATAATTATTTCGCTGAAACAATCAGTGCTGCTAATCACTACAGCAAGGCTTTTTGGACTGATTTGATGGAGTAAGGATCTTCTAGAATTTTTTCTTTTTAAAGTTTTCTAGAGTGGTGCATTGTGTGGTTGAGATTTAATGATAAGTCACATCAATTTTTCAGCATTAAATTTCAACCACACAATATACCACTTTAAGAAACTTTAGAAAAAAAACACTCTAAAGGATCTTTGTTGGATTTGATGGCACGTCTGAGGCGTAAATACTTTGCGAGTCCATGGGCATTCAAGGCTTTCGTTGTTGGCTTTGTCACTTTTGCCGTTGCTGCGTTTAAATTCATCACAAAGACTTTCCATATCCGTATCCCCCCGTATGATTAATTAATGAGGATGATGAATATATATTATGTTATAGATCATCTTAAGTCAACAAGTCATCCAGTATTGTCTTAGCCTCAACAAGAATTGTGTCAACCAGAATGTCTAAGGGCATGTGTTTCTAAAACGTGGCGTGTTTGGTTTACTATGTAATCTCTCATTCTTGTATGGATAATGTTATACATAAATAAATTTCTTTCACATTATCGCGTCTAATTCAAATAAGTAAGAATATAATAAAATTAATATTATAATGTGTACTTAAATTCACTTAAAATCAAATTTTATATTTTAGAGATTTCCACTACAACATATAAGAGTTTTAAAGATCAAATTTTTTGATCTCTAAAAGTAAAAATTTTGTTGCAAACAATGGCGACTCCAGGAATTTTTGTCAATGGTGTCAATCAAAAACTTAAATACCATATATCTTACAGAAAATTCACATTAATCATTATATCACATATGGAGAAAAAAATCAACAAATTAATTTAAATTCTAAAATTATAAACAAAAATATTTCAATATATTGATACTATTATTTAAGCAAAAAGACATGCTAATACACGAGTTTCTACAATTGACCACGACGAGATTTCATATTTTGAAATCGTTGCATAATAAGCTCATTATCAACACTATCAAATAGTGGGTTCAAAAGAGTAGGATTTAAATCTATAGGTTCAAAGTTATATTTTAGTGGGTTCAATAACTAATTTTTTTCCTAAAATCTAATCTTTATATAATAATAATAATAATTCAGCCAGGGGGTTCGGGTGACACCCCTGGCCAGGCCTTGAAGCCGCCCCTGGTTGCAAAAGATATTTAGGTATCAATTTTTATCGTTGTAAGGATAATCACTAAAAGATCGTCCCAAAAAATAAAAAAAATAGGGTTTTTAGCTATAAAATTTTAATAATGTCACTAATAAATATACTTTTAGGGACGAAGAAAAATATGTTGCCCATTCTTGATTCAGAACGAAGAAAAATAAATAAATAAAACGAAAATTTTAAGTAATTCCAATCTTGTCTTTTCTTACACAAATCAACTTTCCTTCAACAACTGAAAGTACAAATGAATTCTCCTGCCGGCTTTGCAATTTTTTTAATGATTTTCATTAGCCATCTCAAGTTCTTCCTATACCCTTCTTTTCCTTGTTTTCCAGTACCATTTTTTTGAGAAAATAATGGCATCAGAGATAACAGAAGAAAAAGATGAAGAAGCCCTTTTCACCATCAACACAGAAGCTAAAAAAGACAAGATCAGACAGATCATAGAATACCAGAAATCACTCTACTTTTCTTCGTCTTCTTTTTCCTCTGCAGCCACTTCTTCTTCTTCGTTTTCATCTTCACGGATAAGTAAATCTCTGTTAGACTTGATGAAAGAAGGAAGCACTTCTTTGAGGCGATTATTCGACATGGAACATACTAGCTTGGCAACCCATATGAATGACTACAGTGGCTCTCCCATAATTAAGTCTATTCCCCTTTGGGGCAGCGATACAGACGATGGAGTTCATGATGATCCATGGAAGTCCATAAACAGGAATGTTGGACCTGTGTTTGGGTCTGGAAGTGGTGCTCAAAGTGTGTTGGGTGCAGAGAGTAGATCCATGGATGGAATTGGATTGCCTGTTGGTAGAAAACCCAGAATTAGCAAACACAGGTTGAATAGAACCAAGTCGTTTAGGAGGCTGCCAAGATTCAGTTTTTGGAGATCCAGAGATTTCCGATTCGGGTTGAGGTTGAGACGGCTGAGGAGTATGATCTGTGGTAGAAAGTTCTGATAACGTAGTTCAATTAACGGGCAAATGGTGAGGTTTCAATTAACGTAGTTTTTGGATTACACATACAATAAAACACCACACTCTAATCAAATGATGAAAAATCTTCATGATATATTTCATATTATTTTTTTCATGATCCCTAATATTATTCTTTATCTGTTTTGACCCAATATGCTTCTCTTCGGATTCTTGTACATATTGAGTTATTTTAGAGTTTAGGGTCTAGTAATTTTTGAAGGTCTTCTATAATAGAAGATCGTGTTGAAAGATCTTACTAACTGTAATCTCTATATTTATAGTGAAACTCATTTATTTATTTATTTTATTTATAAATATAGGTTTTTATAGCTAAATAACTCATTTGTCGTTCTACTTTTTCCATAACAAGAACAAACACTTTCACATGCACATTTATTGACAACATTGAATATCAATTACATTTTGCTACATGTATGAGATTATCACAGGAGCAATTTTCCTATTCACATCTGAAAAAGAGTAAGAGCAAAACAAAAACCAACACGGAAAACAAAAGAATCTTTTGGAATTGATTGAAATTCAATTCCAAAGCCCTTGATTCTGGAGCTTATTGTACCAAATTGAACTCAAATTTTCAATCTGAATCAAAGAATCCATTCTTCTATTTCACAGCAATCAAAATACCCACTTCATAGCTGAAAAAGCTATGTCATTCAGCTTAGGGGCAAGCATGTCTAAGAACTGTATATGGGCCTGCAAATCACACAGTGACTTGAAATCAATCTCCCTATGATACTTCCCTCTTCAATTCTCAATCTGCTACTCTCTCTGTTCCACAGGTGAACCCCATAACTCGCCCAGGTTAGCTGAAACAACTTGGCTTCGATCCATTTTGAATGAGCCCGGTTAGTCGGTTTTTCAAAAAGCCCTCCTATCCTAATCCAATCCACCGGATAAAACGCCATGGGCGGCAAGACAGTGAAATTACCCTTAGGTCCTTCTGTTTCCATCTTCTCAACCACTCTGGAAACCAAGTAGGGTCCATTGTGCCCCCATTTGTTCCCATCAAAAGTGGTAGCAAATTCCTCCATGAACTTGTACAGAATTGGATGATTCTTATCAAAAACAAGCACTGCATTGTTCAATCTTGTCCATTTACCCGATCCATCGACGCTTTGTGCTCCGAGTGAATTTCTCAAAACTGAGAAATTCCTCAAAACTATGAAATCAGTGTCTAAATAAACCCCTCCATACTTATACAGAACCGCGAGTCTGATCAAATTAGACAGGTTCTGAGCCAAGGGAATTTCACCGGGGTCCTTGTTACCGGTCTTGATGTCATCAAACCATGACTCAGCTGGTGTGTTCTTGAACAGAGACGACAAGTTGGGCCTGACTGCTAGAACTCTGAACCCCAGCTCGAGCAGTGGTTTCAAGATCCTAAACCCAAAAGCAGAGTCCATAGTTCTTGACAGAATCAACAAACACCCACGTGGGTTGGCTTTGAATAGACTCTCCAATGCAAGAAACTCCCTAGGCCCGAATGATTTTGCAGGGGAAATCCATGTCATGAAGAACTGACCTCTACAATGATCATCAAGAAACTCTGTGACTCTGCCATGGAATTGGGTAGTGAGGGTTGTTTTCTTGAATATCTCCAACTCTGATGACTCTTTCTTGGAACTTGGGGTTTCAATGTGTGGCTCTGTAACAACCTCTTCTTTGAGGGAAAGAAGCTCATGGGTTGAGGTTGATTTGAGTTTTTGTTGTTGGTTGTTGTGATGAGCAACAGAGTGGAGAGAGAGATTGGAGATCAAACTGTTGGCGAATATGATGATGAGTAGAATGGCAGCGAAGGAGATGGTGGAGAAGATGGGTAGTTTGGCTCGGCCGAGTCTCGGGGAATCAAACATCTTAGAAGAAGGAGTAGTAGTAGTTGATCTCAGTTGCAGGGAAGACATGGGTCTACCATTGAAGTAATCATGCTACTGATATAAATAGAGAGAAGGGGGAAACATTTTATATATATGTGTGTGTCTGTGTGTTTATTTTTCTAGAAGCTTTGTTGATCTTATTCTATATGAAATGGTTAAAATGCCTAATACATGAATTACATGAATTGATGGTTAAAATTCCTAGTACATGAATTACATATGAATGGAAGGTTCAAATGTCAAGAAATGAATTACATGAATTAATCAAGCCAATATGTGATTCATCACCTAGGGATTTTTTGTCTTTAAATATTTTTGTTCCCCATCTCAATTTATTCACAATATCTTGAAATTTTCACATTTTGAAATTTGTATAGGATGGATATTAGTGGATTAGAATAAAGGACGGTTTGAGAGTAATAGATCATTCGCTATTGGTCACATCCCACTTAGTTTGAAGTAAATATTGAGTAGGATAGTGATATTTTATGCGGTTATTACTAATCAATGAGAAGTATCACTTTAAAATAATAATAGTGGGTGGCACACGCGATACGTGTGCAATTCAGATAACTAATAATAAAAATGAATAATAAAGAATTTAATATCATAATATGTATGTTACTTGAGTGATAAGTATATTCTTAATAAAACCCAAGGTTTTGGGTTCAAACTTGCTTACGCTATATATAACAATTTTTTTTATTTTAGCATATATAAAGTTGCCACGTGACATGAGGAGAAGAAGGTTTCACTAAACTAATTTAGGCATTCACTTAATAATAGTATAGATAAATGTAGACTACATAGTTGGGCTAGTAGGAGATGAGAGATATGAAATTAAAAACTTTAAAAAAAATTGAATTAAAATATTTTAAAAAATTATCAAAAAAAATACAAATTGAAAACTCATAAAATTTTACTCTAAACCATTCGGATCTCAAATTTAAAGAGATAGTTGTTACGAAAAAAGAAATTACAAAAAATTTAAATAGTTATGAAGTTAATTTTAAAATTGATAGATTCACATTGGATAAGTGGCTTAATTAATTTCACAAACTTTATAAGATTCAGAAGAAAAAAGAGTTTCTAAAGTTTGATGAGGGCTATTTATTTAGTCACCCTAAATAGCGCAGATTCCAGACCACAGAGATATAGTTCAAGAGATATTATAGACTAATAGACAATTAAGGATAAAATATAAAAAAAAAATAAAAAAGATAGCACATATGAAGAAGATATTTGCTTGTTGAGTTTATTATACAAATTAAAGTTATAGTTGATGAAAAATGGTGAGACAGAAAAAAAATTGAGAGCTTAGACATGTACAAATCTCCTGCAGCTTGGCCACTTGTCTTGTAGTGCAAAAAAATATGCCATTTTCCATCTCTTAGACTTTAATTTTTGCCTAACATGTCCAAAGCTTAATTAGGGACAATTTGAACTCTCAATTGCCATAGAGATGACTGAAATTACGTAGAGAAATTGGCATGGATTTCATGAACTGTGTTTGGATCATGAATTTTTGTAAAAATTTAAAAAGAAAAAGAGAAAAAGTGAAGAAAATATTAATGAAATATTAACTAAATTTTTTCTCTATTTTTTGTTTCTCTTTCCAAACACCATCTAGCATTACATGGTGGTGATAAATTTAAAAGTATGTTGATGATGTTTTGTTTTAATGTAAAATTTTAAAATTTACTATAAAAAATCGAATGTATCAAAATTTCATTTCGAGTGGTTATGTGCATACTCAATAATAGCAAACCGTGGCCATTTTATCTCTTATTCTCCTAATAAAATGACTATATGCTTTCAGTTATTAAGCAGGTTACCTATATAGTCGTGTGAAATATTTAAAATGTTTCACCTAATTCAATCACAATATTATGTAAACAAAAAAAAATTACTAGGTATTTTTCTCTATCATAGCATTAATTTTTCTTATTTTTTTAGTTTCAAGTGATAACATATAGCAAGTAGCTGCAAAAGGCATTTGGAAGAGTTGGAATGTTAATTGGAAAACAGTTAATAGGGATTAGCTAACATTATTGGATTTGATCTGAAATGAAATGAAATGTGATGTTAAATTCAAAATGACCTATTGATCAAAACGCAATACCTTCGAAGGTGATATGGATTATTTTTTAGGAAACAATACATCCTTAATTTAGAACCTAAATTACATAAATTTTTTCATTAAAATTTATAGTCATACAAGTCAAAAATGATCATGGCAAGTTTTACCTTGATTCTAGGTTTTATGCTTTGTCATGATTTTTTTAATTTTCTTTATTAATTTTGTGATTTTTATAGAATCAACCTAGTTTGTTGTTTCTTATTAGGATTACAATTTTTTCAATATATAGACTTATATAAGTCCAACAGCTTATCAGTTTTCAAAAATCGAATAAATTTTTGTGTTTTATATTCTGGATATTTTTAAAATCAATAACAATATAAAAATAAGAAGTAATCTTGTCACACCAATTATGCTTCTCCACATTTCCACCATCATGTAATGATAAATGCACAAAAATTATTTATATATTCTTCAAATTCCCATTTTAATAAGAAATCAAAAAGTAAAAAATAAATAATTTTGAGAAAATCCTTTTCTTGAGAGATGGGTTACCATTGTCTTTCCATGAACTATAAAATAAAAAGTAATGTGAGGTTTGGCTTTTCAATCATTGCAAGACTAGTCATTGATTATTAATTTAAATCTTATTGCATCATTGACTTTGATGGAAGAAAACATCTTCATCTTTATCTGTTTTTTAATTTAGGAGTGGGGTTTTGAAAAGATGGTATTGCAATGAACATGTTTTTATTTTATTTATTTTAAAAAAATAATAATAATTAGTGACCGAGAGGATATGAATTCGAAGAAGACTAGAGGACCTTTTACCTATATGGGTGGGCTTATTAATCAATGTCTATTATGGAGCCAACTTTGTGATTATTTTTATTTTCTTTTATTTTTCTTTTGTAATGATATTGACTTATTTGTGTGCCTTCTCATTGTAGTTAATGGGTGTTGGAGCATCTTTAATAATATTTTTAAATTTTTTTCTCCAAATTTTAATTAAAAAGTGTGTTTTTCATTTTAGAGGGTCACTTTTTCACTAGTCTCTCCACTAATGCTTCTTCTTTTTTTTCTATTTTATTTGAATATTCTTTCTTTATACATTTCTTAAACTAGGAAAACATTTGGAGAGATGTTGGAGCATGGTTTTCGAAATGAAACTCTCTAAAATAGCTAAATATAGGGTTTGAGGGAGATGTTGGAGGCTTTTATTAGGATGTGAAACCTTACATCTTTCTCATTGTGTCCGACAAAAGCACCATTTCATATATCTATGTATGCAAGTATATAAATAAAAAATAAAAAAGGGTATTTAGAATATATATGCATGCTTTGAGATAAATTTGAGCTAGAACTTAGATTTGGATAAGTTAATAAGGGTGAGAGCATGACTCGAGTTTAGACAAATATCTTTATAATTTGAGTTAAGCTTAGATCCATTCTCAAGTCTATCAAACTTGACCAAGTTGCAGCCTTACTTAAACCATAAGCTACGACAATTAAATATTGCACTTTGTATCTTGTAATTTTATATAATTTGCACTTTCACTTGAGAGATAACTAAAGACCTGTTCAGTTGTAATTAAAATAACAATCATAATAGATTATAAGTAAAGATCACAAAAAGTCCAAACTAGAGCATATAGTATACTTCTTTTTATTTTATTTTTTGTGTATTATAGAATTTTCATTTCTTTTTTTTTAAATCTCAAAACAAGTAATGTAATTTATCCATTTTTTTTATTTGTTATATGTTTCACACAACATGTGGAAATACAATTACAATGTTCTAAATAAGTTCTTTTTGGGAAACCATCATCTCTGACCTGACCTCTATATTAGGCCCTTTCATTTCATTTGTTTTTACTATTCCACGTTGCAAAAGGTTTCTTAATTGAGCTGCTGCCTATCAATGTTGACTTAATTTTTAACATGACCCACCTGTCTATCATGTTATGAACTGTAATGATCTGTATTCAAATTATGTTAGAGGTAAATGAGGGGAGTCGAGTTTTAGTATATTTAGATTTATTTATTAAGATTTTAATAAGTTTGAATTTGAGTTTGAGGTGAATAAAAATTTAACGAGTCGAGCTTGAACCGAGTTAGTTTAGGCTTAACTCGAGTTCAAGTCTATTCACGAGCCTTAATGAACCAAAATATTTATAAATTTATATTTGTGTATAAAATTAAAGTTATAATTAAAACTTTGATTATACAATTATATATGTATAATATATATAAACATACTATAAAAAAGTCAATATTGTATTAAAATAATAATATCTATTATTACTATTATATAAATGTATTATCTATAATTAACTATTATTTATATTTATATTTTTTAAACATATAAATAATATATTTATCTTATTTTTTATACATATTTTTACATTATTTAATATATAAATAATAAATGTTAAATGTTAAATGAGTCAGTTAACGAGTTGAGCTTACGAGTCAAGCAATAGTATGTTTGGAGTTGTTTATTAAAAATTTAATAAGCTCGAACTCGAATGTAAGAAAAATTTAACGAACCGAGTTTGAACGAGTTTTTACTAAGCTGAATTCGAACTGTTCAAGAACGACTCTGTTTATTTCCAGCCCTTATAAGAAGTAATGGGCTGGATTACAAGGAGAATGGCAACACACAGATTCCTCATGCATCTAAAACCCAAACCCAAGGAGAGGTGGTTAATCAGAAATTAAAGGAGAAAGGGGTACGGAGGTGATAAACCCAACTCCAATCAGTAATGTTGTGTTTGGTTAGAAGATTTGGAGAGAGATTTGGAAAGGGAAAAGGAAAAGGTATGTGAAAGTAGGTGAAATATAGGCATGTTTTATTCACATTTCACCTACCTTTTCCATTTCTCTTTCCAAATCCCTCCCCAAATCCCCTAACCAAACACAGCATAAGTCTACTGTGAAGGGGAGAGGGAAAGGGAAAGTCTTGCGAGGTAAGCTATGGAAGAAGAAAGGAAAGTTGGTTGGTGACAGAAATTCAGGAGAACCATCTTTAAATCTGTGGAAATGAGTCATTTTCAGGTCTGCTGTAGCTGCTATTTCACTCTCAATAGCAAGAGAATCCAGCAGAGGAAG